GTACCCATCAACTATTAGGAAAAATAAAAGATTAGGATCGTATAATTTTTATAAGAGGTATTAAGCATTACTTAAATGTCCCTTATCTTATTATCGTTATAATCTTAGCACTGACCCCTTGACACTAGTTCATTTATATCTATCGAAGGCCTTTATAATATTAGAGGTGGAAAAATGATAAGCAAAAGCTATTCGTAAATAATCTAAGCTATTTTTATATTTATATCTTTACTTTCTGATTATAGGGACTGATTTCCTTTTTCAATATTCTAAAAATATATTTACACCATTACTTTAATACTTTTGTAGTTCTAACTAAAAATAATATACTTATTAATTGAAGATATAGTACTTAACTATTCTCAGGTATAACCCATATATATTATAAACCATTAGCTATTCATATCGATTCTTAAACTTAGATAAAATGAGAATTATATAGAAATAACCTAAGTATAACTCTGCTTAAAATCTTTAAATTTTTCCAGGGAGATGATAATAAAATAGACATTATATTAAAACTTTAGTTATAACTATCCATTAGGGTTTAATAAAAATATCTGGAAGTTAATAATAACATTTAATATATAAACTAACCCTTCTATTATATCACCTAGTATAAGATTAGTATAAACGGAACAGTTAGGCTGCCTTAAATATTAATTCTTAGAAAAAGGCTGCTGAAACTTATCATAATATTTTATTTTTTAATTCATAAATGTATTTTATTAACATATAATACTCCCATTTTTCATAAATATTCTTATTACAATGTAAATCTCTATGCTTTTTATCTAATTAATACTTATATATTTATACTATGGTTCTACTTTACTGATATTATATCTAATTCTACTATGGATTATTTAACCTAATTATAATATATTAAATACTTAATCTTACCATTATAGCTAATATAAATTCTAATACTTTATTGATTATACTATATAATCTTTATTTCTATAATTGAAGGATTATAATCTTACCTTTATTGATAACTTAATAATTATATATTAGACCAGCTGGATTAATTATACTACTTAGTCATTTGGGTTAATAACATTATATATTTATTAACTATACTCTTACATATTGGTGAAATCCCTAGAATATCTTATTCTAGTTTTATGGTAGGTTAACCCATTAGATTAACCCATTAAATAGAATTGTATTAGAAATAATATATTAGTTTATCTTAAGGATTATAATATTTATATAGATATTCAACTAAGGTATATCACCCATAAAGGAAGGCTCTGGTCTACCACTACTTATAACTAGATATAGTATATTAGAAATGATGTTAAGCTATATTTCCTCCTAATCTTTTATTAGATATTTTAATCATTTTTCTACTAGCTTATCTACATAATTGGTTACTAATAAACATATAAG